CCCTATAATCTTATCTCTTATCCATTATTATTGAATCAATAAAATCTCTTAATTCATCTGCCATACTTATTTTCTTATTTTATTCTTCTACTTGTGTTCACATATTTCATTATTATACCATATACCTTCAACATCTCAAATCAGTCGTTGATTTGCTAACAAATGGTATCAGAGTTATTCTGATATCATGTTTATTTCACAATAGAGACAAATGGAATCTCTTCATCATATTATTTACGAAAGAAATTATGTTAAATTGTTTTTTTTTTTTTTTTGCAAAGAAATATAGATTATTGAAATAATTTGTGATTTTGTTGATTTAATAAAAAAATAATATATTTTTAATTTTTTGAGGATATACAACAAAATCGTATAGAAAGTCAATGGTCCTGAATGCAGTAAGATTTATTGTTACAGAATAATTTGACTGTTATGAAAAGAGAAAAAGAGAAGAGAAAATAAAATTTAATAGGTTTGTGTGTATTATAATGAGAATCAAAGCCATATATTTATAAAGAAGGATTAGAGATACAATGGTAATAATTTCTAGAGTTGCAATGATACAATTGTCATTCACTAATAAACTTACCATTTATAACAATACCCCTTGAATGACATATTACAAAATATCTATCTTCTTGAAACATTATTTGGAGAAAATTTGATGGGAAAAAAATGCCAACAACAAAGAGTACAAATATGAGAAGTAATAAACTGCTACCTCATTAAACCTTGTCAATAATACCCGATGGGACAAAACTTGATCGAAGGAAAAAGAGTACAGCTACTCCCCGATTTCAATTTTTGTATCATGGAAACCATATCTTGTATCTCAATGTTTTCAATATTGATATCTTGTACGTCAATGTTTTCAAGAAAATTCAGTGGGACAAAACTTAATGAATGCAGTAACATGATGATTCAAAAAAATAGCTATTTAGAGTATTATTTTGAAGGTAAATGTCTTGCATGTTACATTCATCAAACAAAAAATATATCTCGTTTAAACCTTATTAGAAAAAATCACGTGGGAAAAACTCCAATGAAGGAAAAAAGTACATTATTCTTTAGAGTACGCTACAAAAGTTGTCTCATTAATAACTTTGTCAGGAGAATTCAATTGGACAAAACTTCGATCAAGGAAAAAAAAAAGTACAATGCATTTTTACTCCCCCTTAAGATAATATCACTTAAAGATGCTTCAGGCATATTAAATCATTCCAAGATTGTATCAAAACCATACAAGATAAATAGTCTATGATAACATTTATTACATGCATATCAAATTTTATGCATTGTCACGCTAATGAAATAGAAAATTGTGATTACATCCACCACATGATAATTTATCTATTTATACAAGTTTTCGCAAAACTCATTATGTAAAAAGTCATATATTTCATATTACGACTTTACTTTTTCTCTTTTCATTTTGCATAAGTATACACATTTTGGTGTTCCAAATATAGATCCAGAAATTTCAGATTCTCTAATAATTTCATATTACGACTTTACTTTTTTTTCTTTTTTATTCATTTCGCATAAGTATGATATGAAACCTTCAAGCTTCTCTAGTGAGTTCAATTTTACTAGGATCGCGTCTGGAAACTTCATGTTTCTTTGGTAAATTCAATTTTAGTATGATCGCGTCATTTTGTTTGCCCAATCATTACTTCGATTGATATACTTCAATATAATTATTTCGATATTCTCATTATTCATAATATGAAGCGGTACATTATACACAAAAATGTTGTCGACAACCTTTTCTTTTTTCGATTATATTTTCTTTTCACATAATGACATAATTTATTGAGATATCTCAATTTTCATTATTTCACTTACCTGGACCTCTTTTGGAGTTTTATAATGTGTTATGTCTAAATATTCATAAAGAGTATATGTCTCCTTAATAAGACAATCTTTACCAATTGCTCCATTTTCGTTTGGATGATTTTGTAATAAAATCGAATATCATCACGCTTTAAGCGTGCTATAAATTTATCAATTAATATTGACAAATTGTCCTTCTATGAGTCTATTCGAGTTTGAGCATGTAAAGCTGATGTGTGAGATTGTTAATCGTTTTGGTTAGTAAATGCATCTAAATGAATTATCATTTGAACTTATGGTTCGAATTGTCTTTTGTGAGGATTTAGATAATGATGCATTTGTACATTATTTTTGTCTTCTTAATTTCTCCCCCTAATACTGAGAGAATTGTCAAATCAAATTGAGAATCATTTTTAATGAGTTACGAAATATCACATATTTGGAATAAGGGTTCATACTTCGCATTTATTCTCAACATTCTTTATTTTCCATCTCAATGCAATGTTGTGGATTTGTGGATTAATTGTACATGTATCCCAGTATCAAATAATTAAATGAAGAAATCAAGCTCGAACTATAAGTCAATTATAAAAGGGAAAACTTGATGTTGGCATGATACTTTCTCTAAACAGAAATTGAAAGTATTTTTTTCTCAATTAAATAAATTGGAGGCGTTTAACAAAAAATAATGTTAAATCATTTATCGACATCTCAACTAACACTTGTTAAAAAATTGAGATTTAGGATCACTAGTGTTAATAAGACACTGTGTATTGATTGTATAATTTGAAAATTATGCTCATAATTTGAGCAGTGTTTTTGCAAATTTCAGATTGCAAACATCGTGCAATCATTTAGTATTTGTATCAAATCTATTAGATATAAACAATATCTAGATGATCAACGTGGTGGGTGACGGGGCCCCATTTATCACCCTAATTATTTTTTAGAAATATAGGGGATTCGGTCTCTATTTTAGTTATTGATGTATAATGATCAATTATCGATAAAGAGAACAAATAATATATACGAAATCATTTGATTGAAGAATCTTTTCGTTCTTCATTGAATATCCATTTGAATTTTTAATTTCACATCAATATTGATCCAATAATGGTCTAACTGATCATGTCAAACAAAAAAATCAAATTGAACTTCTGGTTCAATATAAGATATAATTCAATTATTTAATTTCGATGAATATGATTAAATATTATGTATTCATATATCATACAAGTAGTCAAACTAATCAATATCCTCATGACATTAGTTATATATTTTCCTTTAGGGATAAATATGAATTCAAACTCATACATTTTTCGAAACATGTGCTACTTCGAGAGTATGTTGAATATTATTATTGTTTTTTCAAGAGTAATATATCGATATTTATCTGAAATATTGAACATTATAATTATGCTTTTCGGGGACAATCGAATATTATTATAATAAAATTATTTAAGGGTTTACTCCTCTAGAGTAAAAACATAATTTGTGTTAGATTTTACATAGTTGTGCTTTTCGGTGGCAAGTAAAATCTAACTAGAATATCAATAATAATGTGCTACTTCAAGAGTAATAATATTTTATAATGGACACATATATGAGTATTACATTCATAAATTATACTCGTATTAAAAAGAACAAAAATGAGATAATTAATCCAACGATGAGAAAAAGAAGAAAAAAAATAATTCACTCTTCACATGCACTATAAAAAAATTTTAATTGGCGCCTTGTTCTTCAATATATATGCATAATTAAGGAAAATAAAACTGAATGCATGTATTTGCTCAAACTAACAGGCAATTATGAATTGTCAAATCAAGTCACGTTTTTCGAAAACGGAAATTCAGAAGAGATCCACTATGGATGCCGCCGGATGTGTGATATGCAAAAGCTATTACCTTTCGGTGAGTTCATTTGTGATAAGAAGATGAATTAAAATTGAATTAAAAAGTAAAAAAAATTAAGCTATCATGCTGATGATGTATTATGAAAAAAGTAAAAAAATGAGATAATAAAAGTGAATAGGCATGTGTGTATTATTATGATGAGAACTAAAATCTTATATTTATATGGAATTATTTGGAATACAATGATAATAATTTCTATGGTTGCAGGGATACAATTGTTATTCGCTAATAAATTTACCATTTACAACGTTGACTACACTTAACAAGAAAAGTGGAGAAATAATACTAATAAACAGAAAAGAGAAGACTTCCATCCGACAACTGAGAGTTTGATTTAAGATTTTATGTTTATTGACTATTCAAATAGGGAAATTTGTATTTTTCGTCCTCTACATTTGTGAGATGCAACAATTTTACAATCAATCTTTTTTAGCATAATTCATCCCACCTTTAAATTATCTAGCAAACCTCGTCCTTCACTCTATTTTAATCATTAAATGACGAATTTTCCCTTTTATTTAAATGTACGAAAAAAAATAAAATAGAAAAAGATAAGGACAAATTGCAAATAAAGTCCCCTAACTTTTCAAAAATTGCAAATAAATCATACTTAAAATAAATAAATATATATTAACATATAAATAAAGAATTTAAAATAAGCGACAGGATAAAAAATGGGCAGCCTACCTAAAAAATCCGACATCCTACAAATTCTTCATGTTTTAATAGGTAAATTGTTTTATGTGAGATTGATTTGTACTTCTGAAAATTTATGGGACTCCATTTACAGTTTTTTTTTTTTCTTTTTTTGTTCGTTTTACTGCTTTCTTTTATTTTTGTTTATTTAAAGAAAATGGAAAAATGTCATTTAATGGTCAAAATGGACGGAAGGAAGAGTGTGCTATGTAATTGAAAGGTTGGGAATGGGTCGTGCTAAAAATAAGTTGCAGGTAAATTTGTAACACTTTACAAAGGTTAAGAATGAAAAACGTAAATTTCCCTACAAAATGCTAGAGAAAGGTATGCAAATCGACTTGTACTTACTGTATACTCCAATCGACCGTTAAACTAGGAAAATATTCCTAAAGATCTACAAACGTATAGATTTTGGAGTACTTAAAAAAAGCCATTTGCAGTTTATATAAACATTCATTGCTCTTTTCTTAATTCCACTCAACGTTAAGCTTAAGTTTGTGTCTATATCACTTGCTATTTCTAAATACACATTTGAAGTTTGAACCCATTCTTGCGATGGCTTTCATAACGATCATTTCACATTCGCAATTACCTCTATTCAAGAAACCTGAATTCACAATCTTGAATAAGCCTAATGCCCAGTTGTTGTCAATGCCCATCTCATGGTTTTCTCGTAAGAAACCCAAAATGGTGGTGGTTTCAGCTACAGGAGATGCTCAGAAGTCGAAAAAGAGGTATCTTAGAGAGGCTAAAGGGTTTGTGGATGAGATGAGATTTGTTGCAATGAAATTGCACACAAGGGAGCAGGCTAAAGAAGGAGAATCGAAGGAATCTGTGGGTCTGCCTATGGGCGAATGGGAGCCTACTCTTGAGGGATACTTGAAGTTCTTGGTGGACAGTAAACTTGTTTATGATACCATGGAGAACGTCATGGACAAAGCCACTTTTCCTGAATGTAAGCTTATTTTATTTATTTTTACTTTTCAGTATAAGACTACTAATTGCTTATTTTCTATTACAATATCAACAAACTAAATCTTATTAGTAGATTTGACATCAACAACATGAATCCTTCTATGCTATTCTATAGTCTCATTTTTCTCTTTTTATTGCTAAATATAAGCAGAGATGTGAGTAACAAGAAATGTAGCAACTAACGTATGCCAATCTATGAAATTCGAGATCCCATTGCATGTTAAAAAAATAAAAAATGAAGCCTATTTGAAAAGAATCATGCTACTGGAACATAATTTTATGTATATAATGGTATCCACACCCTCAAATTTAGGGGGTCCATCTCGGATAAAATATAATATATCCAGAGTGGATCATCCTTCATGTGAGGGTATGAATACTATTATGTACATAGAATTATATACGTGTAGACAAACTCATTTGAAAATTTTAAAATTGCGAGTTAAATTAGTTGGAAATATTAGCTAATAAAATTCTTTTAATTTATCCATCAGCCTTAGTTAGAAATAAGCACAATCCAAGTTTGTCTACCAATATATATTAGGAAAAATTAGAATTGGATTCCTTAACCTTTCAGATAGTGCAGTTTTGAGTCATCAACCTTCAAAAGTGAAATTCTAGTTCCCAAAACTATTTAACATGTGAGTTTGGATCCCGCATGACAAAGACCTTCAATAATTATTGCGGTACTCATAGGACTCAAATTCACATATTTAACGACTTGGAGACCCATAACTCACTAATTCAAAGGTT